TTTTGTCTGCTCCAGGCGATGAGAAGGCAATGGCACGGAAAGCCTTCCCGCGTATGCGTTTTCGCATGGCTCTCTTGGCAGTGATGATTTCAGCAAGTTTAACCTTGCGCTGCTTCCTAGCTTCAGATGCAAAAGAACGAGCCAGCTGCTCATTGCCCACAGTTGTGCTGAGTTCATGGAGATCAGCATAAAACTCGTCCATTTGCAGGATTCTCTCCTTCTCTTCATTGGTCACCTCTATGCAGAACTGCACATTGCTGTAAGCAGCACACAGACAGTCATGGTATTTCTTCACTGCAGCATGAAGTGAGCTTGCTCCTGGCCCCATGCTGCAGATCCACAGTAGGAAAGGCAGTAGCTTCACTAAAACAAACAACAGTTGCTAGCTAGTGGGGCAAGCTAGAGTTATCAGCACAGATCGCTGTATGTACACTGTATGATTTGTTAGCGTGCAAGTCATTTCTCTTGTACCTGTGCGGTGTTTATACTTTATGCATGACGTACTAGTAGCTGCACTTAATACAATACACTTCACTGTACACATACTGGCAACAACAGCAGCATTATAATTATCTTGCTAGTATGAGTACAATGTGCATTTATGTGAGAGTTTGACTGAGTTCGGATACCTGTGCCTACAATGTCATGTATGTTGCTGGCCTCCCTCTCACACGCAATAACTACACTGCTGTAGTCAAGTGTGTTCCTTGGGTACTACTTGTCTGTCCCTGCGGGAAATTGCGGAAAAAACTCTCGAAAACTTGCGCAAGAAATTGCGGCAGAACAAAAAATGTGACGAAAAGTGCGGAATGATGCAGAACTTGCCAGGAATTCGCGGAATTATTTGCAGAAAATTGCGGATTTGGGCCAAATCACGAAATTATTTGCATCGTACATCTACTCGGGAGTCGTACTGTGCAAATAACCTACAGGATCATGGAAAGAACTGCGTGAAAAGTGCATACAAATGTGAGATATAGTGCAGAAAACAACAAAAACGCGGGAAATCGCGGATTTTGCTGAAAATCGCGGGTTTGGACCAAAATCGCGAAATTTGTTGCATCCGTGGAATCGCGGTTTCCTGGAGGGACAGACTTGTGCTACATCACGACTTAGTACAATCCTGCTGAGAGCTGCTGCTGTATGCCGCTTCATTATAATAAACTTACTTTAAAAGTTTGATATCACGGGCAAGTGCTGGCACTTAACTTATGCCTAAGTTTTGGCACTTGTGCTTGTTCACATTATACTACACAGCAGCAGCAGCACAGTTAGAAACACAATCCACTTCTGTTTGCAAGCCGCAGGATGGTAAATGTGTGAGACACTCACCTGTACTGTGCTGTCCCTCCAGGAAATCGCGATTCCACGGATGCAACAAATTTCGCGATTTTGGCCTAAACCCGCCATTTTCAGCAAAATCCGCGATTTCCCGCGTTTTTGTTGTTTTCTGCACTATATCTCACATTTTTCTGCACTTTTCACGCAGTTCTTTCCATGATCCGGTAGGTTATTTGCACAGTACGACTCCCGAGTAGATAAACGATGTAACAAATTTCGTGATTTGGCCCAAATCCGCAATTTTCTGCAAATAATTCCACGAATTCCTGGCAAGTTCTGCATCATTCCGCACTTTTCGTAGCATTTTTTGTTAATTTCTGCCGCAATTTCTTGCGCAAGTTTTCGAGAGTTTTTTTCCGCAAATTCCCGCAGGGACAGACTGTGTCTCAGTCCTTGCCGCACAGTATACGGTCATGTATCACTGCACTGCCTGGTCACTGGTATGAATGCAGCAGGGAATAGAATTCTCCATCAAGGACCACTTGTCTAAGTAAACGGGTAAGCAGCAGTATTCGGCCGTGTACAGATTATTCATCAGCCACCACAATTATAACTGCGCTCTCCAGCCTACCTCGAAAACGACGTTGTCATAGCACACCATGTATACATGTACCGCCAGTGCACCAGCAAAGCGACACATCCGTTGGTTCTGAATTCCTTCGTACAGTGTACAGCTGTTTCCAATATAAAGACAGCTTAGTATAATACAACTCTGCGTCTCTCGTCAGTGAAGGTACATGTAGATGTTATTGTACCGTAGAATGGCTAATGAAGTGTCTGCTCCCGGTTAACGTCGGAGCTCGCGCTTCCAGTCGACTGACTTGACTGATTCACAACTCAGTGCGTCTGGAGCACCCGAGAAGCCCGTCGAACCTTTCACTCGGCAAACCTGCAAGAAAGCACCACTGCCTGCTCAATACACAGTGTTTCAAGGAATTCACCCCTCACCTTGACTCAAAATGAAATTATTTCTGCTCCGAGAGCACTATACTACATAATCATTAAATCGCGCTCTCTGACCCAAGCATCACTAGGGATACCAACTAACTTACACTGTACTACTACCGGTATTACTAAGAAGGAAGTGACGTTCCGCTTCCAGCGCAACAAACACCTCGTGAGCACCATGTAGACCTACCAGATAGCAGCGCGAGTCAGTTTCGCACATGGAGTTGTGAGAACGTCTAGACATTGATGCAGTGCTCTCGGAGCAGAAATTTCATTAGCCTTCTCAAGCTCAACTGATGAGTGGTGAATTCCCCGAAACTCTGTGAGCAGGGAGTGGTGCTTTCTCGCAGGTTTGCTGAGTGAACGGTTCGACGGGTTTTTCTCGTGCGCTCCAGACGCAGTCGTGAGTCAGTCAAGTGTCAAGTCAGTCGGCAGGAAGCGCGAGCAACGACGTTCGGACCAGACACTTCCTTCACTAATCACCGCCAATGTCGCAACATCTTTCGTAGAATGGCTAAGATAGTGAAAATCGCCCATGTGCATAATATATCTGCAAACAAAAGCCGAATCAAAGAGTTTAGAGTGTGGAGAAAAAACTTGAAACAAGGTGAAGTGCAAGGAGTCGTCAAATACCGGTATTTGACGACCTAACTTTCCCCATGCATGTTATATGTGTTGCTATTCGTGACCAGATAATTGTTGAGAACGTACTATTGCCCCTGATGAAGGTTTCTGGAAAAATGTTGAAAGGTCTCTGCTGGGATGACAGCTACACCATAGCTCGGTGGTTAGAGCATCGCTGGCCTCAAGCGAAGGTCCCTGGTTCGAGTCCTGGTGGTGACAGTCAATTTTTTCTACAGATTTTTCCCGTCTGCATCTTTCCCCTCAAACTAATAGTCGTATTGTTATGCCATGATTTTGTTATTGCTACGTACAATGTCTGACTCAGTACAGATCTTATCTCAGCGTCGCCTATTCACAAAGTATTATGTGAACGATTATGCAAGACAAGGACAATTTTCTTTGAGCAAACAATTTGATCTAGCTGGGAAAGATAAAAAATATTTAATATTCCCAGCATGTGCAACAACAAAGAGTGAAAGAAAAAAGTGCTATAAACGCGGATCCCGCGAATATTATTGATGTACATGTGTGAGCGGACAAGGTAGAAATGGAACGTTAGCTGCATGACATCATTTTGAGATACAGGCGTTTGAAGTTAGGCAAACTGTGGCATATTTTTTACCTGGGTTAGAGGGCTCTGTTTGCATCAAGCGCTTGTGCCTCACTCAGCACAGGGCTTCAAGGTCCAGCACTGAAAATTTGAAGTGAATCCGTTATGGCTGAAGGAAGATATGGCAGCTAGTTGTGCGACGGGTGGCGTATTGACGGGCGAATTTGGAGGTGACGGCGATCAGCTGATAGCCTGCTGTCAGGTGCTGAGAGCTTCTCTGATTCTGAGAGCGTTTCTGAGTCAGGTAGTAGTCGAGAGCGTCTTCCACTACGCCGAAAACGACGTGCCGATCAGCGTTTTGTTTGCTGCTGGCTTCAGCACGGTACAAAAAGACATAGGGAACAAATGAGATGGATCTTTCGGATGCAGGCGAACGTGGTGACAGCAGTGACGATGATAACACCAATGAAGGGGAACGTTCCTGTGGATGCTGAGTTGTACTGAATGTATACGCCGAACCGACTTCAGAGCTCTGAAGCACACAGGGCAGGAGCTGAAGAAACAATAGCGTCGTGCACCACAGGGAACGTATGCAGGGACTTAATAGCCCAGAACAACTAGCTAGCTGTTGCCCAATGCATTGGATGCAAGTGGCAGACCTGCATCGTGCACTGTCTGGAAATGAGTGTTTTAAGAATTGAGATACACAGAATGGTCAAGGCTGGTGAACATGAGCTGAGTGGAAAGAAGTCAAATCGGGCCTCGGATTGCGGACTGATGTGTAACGTTACGTTAAGTACAGTTTCTCAAGTCTGTGGACTCGTCCTGCTTCGCTAATGGGCACCGTATTGGTGGTGCGTCTCCGGAATATTATTTCGATGCTGTGTGTTCAAGAGCTGTCTGTCTCCTGCCAAAATGTTACAAACTATATTACCAAGGTGCGCCGCTCAGTCGTCGGGAGCCTCAATGCATCAGAGCAGAGTCCGAGCAACAGTATACGATGAGAGCGTGCACACATGGCTGAAGCAAGAACGCACTGGAATTACCATTTGTCCGCCAAATTCTTCTATTTTTGACATGTGTGTAGTGGTATTTGATGTGTGGATTGAGTACCAGCTTCAACAGTCCTATTAATTTGCCTTGCGTTACGAGTTACTCTGGAGCTGATTTTTCGGCTCCGGCTGTTTCTAGTTATGTAGTTTTGTTGCTTGGTTCCACCTCAAACGAGTCCATGTGTGTGATCAGCTCATCTTTCACACTGATATACACTTGTGGAGAAATACAGGCCAAGATAATGGGTTTTTTTTCAGTGTTTTGGTTGTACTGAAGGGTGGACTGTTTAAATCATCCCGAAACAGACGTTAAAATACTGACCGGCATCTAGAAAATGGTGAATGTAAGGCACTTCCCACCATAGTATCAGCCTGAAACTTTGGGATCTGAAAAACAGATAGTTGTAGGTGACCTTCATGCAAAAAAACAGTTTTTGCCAGACTGCAGTTAACGTTCCATTTCTACCTTGTCCGCTCACATGTATTCATGTAATGAATTCAGTTTAGCGTAGGCGCACATCTCGCAACTACGTATCTGCTGCGCTACAGCGCCCTCTACGGTTCTGGCCGCGGCACTTGTTTAGCGCGCCTTGCCGCGACCGGCAAGACCGCCTGCTGTGCATCACATTAATTTATGCGTACGCCATCACAATAATTAATTCAGTTTTGATCGGGTCCGAGTCCGCAACGTGGCACATCTCCTTGCCATTCTCAGTTTTGAGTCTTCTCTGCTTTGGCTCATGCCCGACTTGCATCCTGCTGCCTTTGTCTTTTGCTGACCGAACTGTCATTGCCTAGTCATGTCGGGCACCAGGAAGAGAACCCGTCGCGCAGCACCTAGCCCTGTTCCCGACCCACCTGTTTCTTCGGCTGCGGACCCCGAGCTGCCGAGTAACGCTGCCTCACCACTCGACGGCGGACAATTCAAGCAATTTATATCTGACGAAGTCCAGAAAGCCGTCACCGCCGCCCTGGCAGAAACGGTCTCCCCACTGCTTGCCACCATCGGATCCTCGCAGCCTTCCCCCGCCATGGCCGTACCCACCGGAAATGCTGCGCCAACTGGTCCGGGTGCTGGCTCTCTATCTCATCCACTGAACGTGCCGTCTCACGTGAGAGAGAGGATTTTGCGAGGTGAGTGTGTTGATTTGAATACACTGTTACCGGAAGCTCTTGGGGCACCAAAGCGTGACACGATTCAGTTGAATTTCAGTGGGTCCAGGACTGTTGAGCTGCTGGATCCCAGCTCTGGCGGGCATGTCGAGAAAGTTCGTAGGCATGTTCACGACCTGGTTACATGGCTAGAAGCCTGGTCCAGATATATGTTCGTACTATGCTCGCACGCACCCAGCCGTTTCTCCGAACTGATGGCATATCAGGCCACCATTGTATCGGCCAACTCCTCATACTATCCGGAGGCCTGGCTCGAATATGACCGGGAGTTCCGTCTGGCAATCTCTCTTGACCCCAGTAAGCGTTGGGACGCCATTGACGGCAACCTCTGGCAACTGAAAATGACAGGCCGCTCACGCCCGCAGTGTAGTACATGCCGGATCACTCACCCTCCATCGGGTAGCCAGTGCCCTTTTCGTGTCTCCCGAGTACCAAACCAGCAGTTTGCACCACGGTCTGCCTACACCAAGTCTGGCAAAGAGATCTGCCGGAATTTCCAGCAAGGTCGATGCTCCAACACCGACTGTAAATTTGCCCACGTCTGCTCCCAATGTGAGGGCGCACATGCCCGCCCCTCCTGCCCGCGTCGCTTCTCCACTGGCAACCAGCGGCAGAACAAAGCTTAATGAACTGCATCTCGATAGTAGCATTCTCCGGACACACCCTACATTCTTTCACACTTGCCGCACACCTATTCACGTTAATCGCCTCCGTTCCTTACTGCGTGCACACCCCAATCAAGCTTTTGTTAAATATGTACTTCATGGCCTTACGTATGGTTTTGACATCGGCTTCAATGGCCCACGCCAAAGCAGCATGTTCTCCCCTAACTTACCTTCTGCGAGGATGCATCCCGATTTTATTACCAAATACCTGCAAGAATGTTGCTCCCGCTTTGAACTGCTAGGTCCTTTTTCCTCCTCGCTTTTTTCCTTTTTTTCATTGCTCCGGTGTTGGCTGCGTTCCGAAAAAGAACGGCCGCTTCCGTTTAATCCACCATCTCTCTAGCCCAGAGGGTCAAAGTGTTAACGATGGAATTTCACGTGAAGATTTCAGCTTGCATTACATCACTATTGATCACGCGATCGATGCCATTATGCAGTACGGTCGTTCTGCTTATCTTTTCAAACTTGACATTCGGAGTGCTTTCCGCATTGTACCTGTGCGGCAGGAAGACTGGCCTCTGCTAGGTATTCACTGGCAAAACCAATATTATTTCGACACTGTGCTCCCCTTTGGCTTACGCTCCAGCCCTGCCATTTTTTAACTCTATTGCCGACTGCCTTGAATGGATTGCTCGCTATGAGTTTTCTATTACTGACCTGCTCCATTATCTAGATGATTTCCTTTGCATTTCTCCATCGGAGCTGGTGGCGAACCAACGTGCTTCAATCCTGCTTCGCTGTTTTAACTATGTCCAAGTCCCCTTGGCACCTGACAAAGTGGAAGGTCCAGCTCAAGTGCTGTCGTTCCTGGGCATCGAGCTGGACTGTGGCAGACTGGAGGCCCGGCTACCAGACACCAAGTTGCAAGATCTCCGCACCTTGCTCGACCAGTATGTCAACCGTGGCGACATGACCCAACGCGAACTCGACTCACTATTGGGAAAACTCTCCTTCGCAGCTCGGGTAATTATACCTGGTCGGACATTCATGCGCCGACTCTGGGATATTTGTCACCGCTACAGTCAGCCACACTATAAGATCAAACTCTCAGTCGAGGCCCTGGAAGACCTGAAGTGGTGGCAACGCCTCCTCTCGCAATGGAACGGAAAGTCCTTCTTTCATATGCCAAATTGGACCCCGTCTCCCGACATCCAATTGTTTACTGATGCCAGCGGTTCGATCGGCTGGGGCGCATGTTATGGCCATCGCTGGATCCAGGGACAGTGGTTGCCGGAACAAGCCGACTACACCATCGAGTGGAAGGAGATGTTCGCCATTGCCGCAGCTTGCTCCTCCTGGGGCCTTGAATGGCGCAAGCTCCGCATACTCGTGTACTGCGATAACGAAGCCGTAGTGGCATGCCTGTCCAATGGTTGTAGCCGCTCCCCCCCAGTCATGGACCTGATACGACGGCTGTTCTTCATGTGCGCTAACTTTGGCTTCATTCTGTCAGCAAAGCATATTCCAGGATGCACTAACAAAGCCGCTGATGCTCTGTCTCGTTTTAACATTCAGGCGTTTCGCGAGGCGGTTCCGGGAGCTCGGGCGACAGCCGACCTGTTCCAGTCATTCTAACTGCCGCGGACGAATTAGCAGCACGATATGCTGCTCACGCTCTATCCGACAACACCAGACGAACGTATTCCGCCGGCGAATCTAAGTATCTCAAGTTCTGCCAACTTCAAAGATGGTCCCCGTTTCCCGCTTCAGACCTAATGCTGAGTAGTTTTGCTGCCTCCCTAACCCAGTCGGTCAGACCAGTGACTATTAAGGTTTACCTCAGTGCTATCAAGAACCTGCACCTGGAGCTCGGTTATGTCGACCCGACCGAGGGTGCGCACTTCCTCAAGCGAGTGGTACGCGGTATTTGCCGTTGCCATGGAGTAGCCGCTGTCCGCCCCAGGCTGCCAATCACGTTTCCTATTCTCTGCAGTCTGGTTGACACCTGCCTAGCTGCTCCAACCATGTGCCCTCACGACAAGCGCTGCCTGCATGCCGCTATGCTTGCCGTGTTCTTTGGTTTCTTCAGATGCGGTGAACTGCTAGAAGCACCTACCACGCGCGGCTGTTTGACATTCGAGTCAGGGATGCTCCATGTGCACCTACCACGCTCGAAGACAGACCCGTCCGGGGAAGGTACGACGGTGCTGATCGGGCCAGCGGTGCCGCCATACTGCGCTGTGAGAGCCATGCTCACCTACCTCACTGCAACCGCCTCTGCTCGTCCAGGCAGTGCTGTGTTCATCCTGGCCAACGGGCAACGCCTCAACCGCAGCACTTTTACAGCCCACGTACGCACGCTGCTTAGCACCAGCGGCGTGGCAAACTGGCAGGACTATGCAGGCCACAGCTTCCGTATCGGGGCCGCTACCACTGCTGCCCTTGCTGGCGTCCCCGACCACCAGATCCGCTCCGCGGGACGGTGGCGCAGTGATGCATGCCTACGCTACATCCGGACCCCACCGTCATCGGCCCGAACGCTGGCCAGCAAACTATCCTCAGTAAGATCATCTCCCTGACACCGATATTTCTCAATTCACACAATTCCCTCATTATGAACTATGCTATGCTGCACTGCAATACTGTTGTGTATGGGTATGTACTGGCGGTATGGCGAGTCACTCATAACTGGTCTGCCTTTCTATTGCGGCATTATGGCCTTATGGTCCTGCCTTTCCATTGCGGCAATCACAGCCTCCGGGCTTCTGCCTTCCTGCGGCAATCACAGCCTCCGGGCTTCTGCCTTTCTGCGGCACTCGCAGCCTCACGGGCTCGTGCCTACCTTGCGGCAAAGACCAACCAGTTCCTCGTCACCAGTACTTACCCAACACAACCTAGCCTTATTCGTGTGGTGTATGCCTGTCTGCATGCCGCCGGTGTGCGCGGAATGCTAATGATGTATGCCTGCCTGCATGCCGTCTGCGTGCGCGGAATGCTAATGATGTATTCATGTAATGAATTCAGTTTAGCGTAGGCGCACATCTCGCAACTACGTATCTGCTGCGCTACAGCGCCCTCTACGGTTCTGGCCGCGGCACTTGTTTAGCGCGCCTTGCCGCGACCGGCAAGACCGCCTGCTGTGCATCACATTAATTTATGCGTACGCCATCACAATAATTAATTCAGTTTTGATCGGGTCCGAGTCCGCAACGTGGCACATCTCCTTGCCATTCTCAGTTTTGAGTCTTCTCTGCTTTGGCTCATGCCCGACTTGCATCCTGCTGCCTTTGTCTTTTGCTGACCCACCATCCCACCACTAACCATTAATACTACATTGCATCATTCCTACTTCAAGTACAATAAACCTGGTGGCGAGTCACTCATAACTGGTCTGCCTTTCTATTGCGGCATTATGGCCTTATGGTCCTGCCTTTCCATTGCGGCAATCACAGCCTCCGGGCTTCTGCCTTCCTGCGGCAATCACAGCCTCCGGGCTTCTGCCTTTCTGCGGCACTCGCAGCCTCACGGGCTCGTGCCTACCTTGCGGCAAAGACCAACCAGTTCCTCGTCACCAGTACTTACCCAACACAACCTAGCCTTATTCGTGTGGTGTATGCCTGTCTGCATGCCGCCGGTGTGCGCGGAATGCTAATGATGTATGCCTGCCTGCATGCCGTCTGCGTGCGCGGAATGCTAAATTATTATATGGAGCTTATAATTTAGACAGATGTGGAGATGAGAAGTATTGATCTAAACTAAAAAAGTTTAAAACGCTCACTTTCATGTTTTCACGGCTACATTCTGGTTATAGATGCGGATATCATTATAGTTACGGTAACATTATTTAGACACACGTGGCATGCATGATACCGGCTGAGGAAATGATGCCGGGTGTGCATTATTTTCCAGAAAGGCAAATATTGGAATCTCTGGAAATAGATACACGTATTCCTCAAAGCCGTAAATAGCTACTTTAGGGAATACTACATGTACATGGCACACTGGTACATCATCACAACCAGCAAAGTGTAACACAGTGGGAGCGTGCCGTGGAGTGACAAGTCCGTGAATGCATCCCTATCAACCCGTGAACAGTGCATGGCTAGCAAGACATCAGAAAACGGCAGACATTGTACATGATTGTGCTTTTAGGCATGTACTAGCAACGTGGTGAATATCAAAGAGGGTGCGAACAAAAAAGCAATTGTGTGATACGAGAGAATTTTGACAAACGAAACAGTTCTGAGGTTCTGACTCAGTGAAGGTTATCCAGACCCGCCCATATAACCAGGGTTACTGATGCCAACACCTGCATCAATGGGAACACACACACATACACACATACATGCACACACACACACATGGACACACATGCACATATGTACACATACACGCACACATATACACACACACGCACATACACACACGCGCACACACACACACACACATGCACACACATGCACACACATACACACATCCATAACTTTATAATGTAGATTGAAGAAGGAGAAGCATGGGCACAGAGTGGAAAAGCAATCTCACAGTGACTGAATATTCGCAGTCCATATGGATATACTCCAGATAATACAGAACTGTGATTGTGCACATTGGAGAATTTTGCCTCACTGACATCGCCATTTGCAGATAAAAACAAGTGGCTGTTTTGTACAGTCACCACTCTTTTGGCTGCTCAGAAATGAGCAGCCGAACGAATCTTCGAATCCAGCTGACAAGTCAGATGGCGATTCATACTCATGCACGAGTTGCACAAACTCTCTATTGAGTATTGGTGGTATTCAGCTGCAGATCATCATGATGAGGACGTCAGCTTACCTGGTGTTTGGCCTATGAGGGCGTATGTATCGTCATCACCACCATTGCCGCCTGTTAACATAGTACAGGTCAGACAAAGACAACAGCACACCGCACACCCTTAGGAAAGACAACAGCAGTTCGGAAAATGTCTAACCGTGACCGGGTGCAAACAAAATGATCGTCAGCGGCTAAGCCTTGGCAAGTGTGATAACCTGACTGTGCATACCTGTACAATCATACAGTGCATACTGGGTATTGTCACAGAACACCTGGTGATAGAGGGTACTAACGTCTTATTCTCAGCTATCATATAATACACTCAATTCCTGTAAGCTGCATCGAATAATGAAAATTCACATCACTCAGTATTGATGCACTGTAGTGTCCGGAGTATAAACCACACTTTTAACAGCAGTATTTCACTCAAAAAAATCGCGGGACTTATACTACGATGGTCAAATTAACCGTGAGGAAACTGGGTGAGATGTCTGTATTTCGTGACAATAAATCTGGCTGCGGCTTGTACTCCACTGTAGCTTATACTCCGGAAAATACGGCACACTTATCCGGCCCTCTTTTATCCGGATCCCTCACCAATCCGTAAGAAAATCGTTGGTTGCCTTTCTACAGCATATGCCATGCATACATGCAGTATGCGTGTGTTCGATTATCCGGCTCCCTCGCCTTTCCGGATATTTTTGTGGAAAACGGATGTGTGCAGCTAAGCGAGGTCTGACTGTACAAGTGTAAACAAATTGATGGAAGTGCTTCAGAACAACCCTGAGTGTGGTGCTACGCTAAGGGGACTTACCGTCTCTGTTCAACTTGTCATAATCCATGTTTGCATCGGGTGATTGTTCATATATTGGTGAGGTGATCTAAACAGCACATCAGCAGATTCATTTGCCTTCAGTAGATTGTTGAGAACCATTGCAAAAAATTAGACATTAGGTTCCGCACTGCGTAAAGTCGAGCAACTTAACGTAAGTGGTCGGGAAAACCCGTGAATTCGCGAGTTTGCACTCCATTTACGGAAAGTTGTCTACGTAGAGTACGTAGATGGAGCTCTATTGTTAACGGAGGTGCTCCGTAAGTGTGGATTGGGGTATGAATTGAAAACACTCTCCTCAGGCTGTACACTGTCGCGTTTGGAGTTGCCAAGGGCAGCTACGTGATTCGAAAACTATGTATGGCGGAACACAGTTACGCATACAGTGTACGTATTATTAGCTAATCAGCCAATCAGAGTTCAGCAAGTGTTTTCTTCTTGGCCTGCTGATGGCTGAACTCTTGTTGTTTCTGCATGAGGAAGGAGAAACAAGCCGGAAAATTCTACCGGAGAAGAAAATCTGAAATGTTTTCTTACTAACGTAATAACGTTGTTCGGAACCTATCTATTACTTTTACAACAGAACAATGGGTTTCGTTCGTGACAGTTGGATGCTGCAGCTGGAAAAGAGTGATATAGAGATATAGAGAGGGGGAGAGAAAGAGACGGAGAGAACCACGAGAGCATATACACACAAATGCACATACTAGCATGCACGGATATACACACACACACACACATATACACACACATATACACATTTACACACCCACATACACACACATATACACACACACACCCACATACACGCACACATACACACATACACACATACACACATACACTCACATACACACACATACACACACATTCACACACATTCACACACATACACACACATACACACACACATACACACACACACACACACGCACACACTGAGCTCACCTCTTCTCGTCCAGTCGTTTGAATGTTGTTGATACTCGGATCGTGGTACAGAGGGTTCTGAACAAAGGGCGGCGCGGCCCTGTCTGGCGCTTCGTAGGTGCTGCTGTCAAATGTAAACTCCTCTGCAGCTCGATCATCCATAAGTCCATCCCTCGCTCTGTTTTGCTCCACGCTCATACGAAGCTTAGCTCTGGATGTCTTCACCTTGTACGTAACTAGAGCAGTAATGGCAGCCAGGCCAGCAAGCAGACCAGCAACTACGCCCCACACAACGGGTTTGGAGACCGTCGATGATGGAACATCCGTGCCCTTGTTTGCATCACTCTTTGGACCGTTGCCGGTCGATTTCCCCTTGTTTGCCCACCTCTGGCACAGGCTAGCTGCATCCGCCGGAACAGTGGGCCCCTTGCAGGATTTAGTGACGGCGGCATTAACCTCTTCTGGATCGACTGGCAGTCCATTCAGCAGAACGGTGAGAATGACTTCACCACCTCCAGATCCAGGCAGAATGTAAACATCGTCAGCGTAGTCCACTTCACCATCCGGACTTGGCAGTGGACTAGTCAAAACCAGCTGTCTCCATGCTTCCAGCTGAGCAGGTGTCAGCGGTCCCCCCGGGAAGACGTCAGTAACTACACCACTTCCAGGAACACACACGTATACTGACGAGGAGGATGCGGAGGAGTCACCTTCTGCTACACCAATGCTGGCGCCACCCGCTTGCGAGGTGCCGCTAGTTGATGTACCAGTTACTTTCCTTGGCACACAGTCCGCTTGGCCACACGGATCGTCCTTGCAAGCGTCCGCCAAGTACTGGCAAGTTGTCCCGGTGTACGACTCAGGACA